CTTTTTCTCATGTACCACATTCATTTTTCCTCTGAAATGTTACAGCAGTCTCTTCCCTTCTTTGTCCTCTGCCTCATCTTTTCCCTTAATCTCCCCTTTCTTATCACCTTGGTCAGCTTCATGTGTTTCTGTGGCAATTTGAGATGAACTATAAGGGCTTTGTGAGAGCCATATACATAAAAAATTTAAATCATAAATAAAAGTCTTGAGTCGTAAAAGTCCATTAAATAGGTCCTCTCAGTCTGTGCAGAAAAGTAAAGGATTTATTGAGGGAGGCCTGCTTGTGAACCTTTCAGAATTTCAGATGATGAAATGTGTTCAGCTGTGTGACTGGTGCTTTCTCAATAGAAGTACAGATGGCAAAGGCTTGCATTGCAATGAAGAATTTATTTGAAATTAAATTGAGTAAGCATGTCTTTTCTCTAAATGGTTGAGCGGTGCAATCACAAAATGTATGAGAAGTTTAACTAACACAAAGTACAAAGAAATATAAACGCTGCTGACGATTTACTGTTAAATTCTCGTGCAACGTTTGAGTTGACGCCCACAACAACACCTCTCCAGCTCTGAGCATAGAGCAGAATGTGGAGGACTCCTCTCCACCACCTCTGCACTGTACTTCAGGATGACACAATCCCCTAAAGTCAAAGCTTGCACACACAAAAAAAGGGACAGGTAAATATTTCCTTGCTTTTTCTTTTCATTTCTTTGGAGCAATAACAACTAGAATCAATAGATTTTTCAAAGATAGATGGGGTGACACTTTAGGGTAAAGGTGGGAAATTGAATTGAAAAAAAAGAAGAAACATCATAACTCCTGATTAACTTTGGCATCACAAACCTGAAAACGTCATTTCAGAACTAGTTTATGTAAGTGTACCTCCTCTAGTGTATGCTATGACCAAGTACAGTATATTCAGTTGAGCAGGATGTTAAAGGGTTAAATACTAGGATTGTTCAGCACTAGAAATGTAAAGTTTTCTGGGTTTGAAAGTTTATCCAAATAAAAAAAAGAGGAATACTATAATTGAAAAGCCAAATATTCAGACATTTTCAAAGCTTTCGTGCAATATGTGCATTTTGTAGCATCCATAGCATTTTCCCCAACTCTTTTTATTTTCATTAGTGATGCTTTCTTTAAACCACGCGGCCAGACTAACACAGCTGTTTTTAAACCCAAGTGGTTAAAGGTGACTTTTGCTGTCTGATGATTAAACGTTCGTAGGAAGGAGTGCCAGAGGGGGCCAGAGTGCGCGACTGCTTTGTATGAGACATGATGAACCATCTGTCTTCCATGTTCAAAATTTAACCAGTTAAGTGGACCCACTTACTAATTTTTTTACTGAGAGAAAAGCTTTTCTGTGTTATTCTTTCATTCTTCAAGCAAACTAACAAACCAGTTTCCAGATGCTATCTTGTTTGATTGTTACCTTGACTATAAATGCATCAACAGCTTGGAGAGCAGCAGTTGGATTCTTTTTTAATCGTATAAAAAAATGTCACAAGAATCCAGTAGTCTCCAATTAATAACAACTTTAAGGCTTTCTGTAGACTGAACATGTGTGTGTAAGAAAGAGCTCTGTGGCCATAGCTGCTAAACTGCTGTCGTCCTACACGGGGAAAGAAAGTCCTTGATAAAATGCACCGTTCAGTGACTGACTGAAGGACACTTAGGCCAGATAGCTGCTGATACAATGGGACAATCTCACTAAGAGATCATCACTCAGTGTGTCGCTTTACATGTACAGAGCCACTGGTCTGCTGTCTTGTTTTACAACTTATTAGTATTAATGATGCCCTGTTGTACCGTGTCTGGCTGCAGGCTTACTTCGACGCAAAGCAAGGACACAGGTTTGCTCTGGCTTGTACTACACAGGCAGAGTTAACTCTTCTTGCATTTGATCAGTTAAAGGCTGGGTTTATTTTTTATTTTTTTTAAAGACGACAAGACAGTAAAAAAACAAAAAACAAATATGAGACTCCGGATGCTTGTCATCCGGATGGAGACGAGAATTTCACAAACGCATTAAAGCAGAGCTGCTATTTTGGTGTAACGCTGTTCTGCTTCCTCCTCTCCATTTGACAACTCTCCAGAGGTTCTCTCATCCTTACTCATACGTTTGCATCAAAAATAAAGAGCAAGAATCCAGGAATCTACAATCAGTCTTAAGATGACAAATAAAGCTATCCTTAGAGGATCTTCGGTGAACGTAACTAGTTTGGCCTCTTGATAGACACTTGATAAACTGCATCAGTTGGCTTTGAAAACCTGAATAATCCCTTTCAAAGAATTTCAACAGACATCAACAGAGAATGTTGCAACTCGGTTGAAAGATAAAACACTGCAGCTGACTTGTTTCAGTCTATACACCTCTAAATATGACACATAAATACACACTCAGGTGCACTGAACAACATCAACTCCATTTCCTCATGAAAACTGCTATATAGTTGATCTTAAGTGGTAAATGTCGAGGGCACTCCAACACAGGTCTGGCGTCAACTTTAACCTCAGCCGCACAAACGGCACGCACAAAATCCTGCACCGTCCACGCTGACCCGTTGACCGGCTCATTCCGACCGGGACGAGTTGTGTTGCGGCAGCAAAAAAGCGCAGATTGGAACGGCCACCTCACCAGAGGCGCTGATGGTATTGACCACCGCAATATCAGTTAGAGAGGGGGTATTGCTGGGGCTGGCAGTAAACAACTCCAGACTGACAGGTCACGGTGACTGGCGGCTTGATTGCTTTCATTACTCACACACTGTCCAAAGTCAGACCTGCCAGCCCAGGACTCGCTCACATCCAAATCTTTTTCTCTCAGTCTCCCAGCGGGCGAACAAATCAAGAAAAAGTTGTGAGGAGTGATGCAACCGCTGGTAATATATTTGACACATCAGAGCCTTAAACTGTGGGCCACTGCTTTTGTGGCGCTGGCTTTTATTATTCCCGCAGAAAGAAAATTGAGTCGAACAAAGAGTTAATTTTGCCGGTGTTGATGCAAAAAAATACGGTTTCTGCATAGGCTGTGAGGAAAATGGAGCAAGGCTCGTGCTTATGAAGAAAAGGCTTAAAACAAAGACTCATGGAATATTCATCAATTCAGCTTCTCCACTCCAGCTTTAATAAGAGGAGAAAAAAAACCCAATCAGCTTCAGATCAGTGCCTATGAACAACAGTTGAATTGCTTCATTATATACAAAAACAGGGAAATTATCATATCATTCATGTCACTTTGATAAAGCAGCTCCCACTACAGCAACAGAGGAAAACTATACATGTGACCCTAACATACAGCCTTGTGTTTTCTTTAATATGGAATCAAAACCACTTCATTAGCGCAGGCACATTAATAAAATATAATCCTGCATGAGAAATAATGCAGAAAAACTTGTTCATTACTTCTTCATCATACGTAAATCAAACATTGATTACCTCGTGCATTTTAAAAGAAATATGAAGCTCATATAACTCATTGTGTGGAGTGTACACACTACACTCATTGTTGTTCATCTGCAAATGTTGGAAAGAGTTAATCAGTTTTTTCATAATAAACCCAGGCTGGAAATATTGGGTCCCGAAAATTTGAGTCACTTACAGTATTTAATTATAGGCAATATGAATAATTACAGATGCAAACAAAGCTTTATTTTAAAGTTCTGAAAAAATGGATTGCGGCTTTCTTAATTCCAACAACAGTTTAGTCTGTCCAGCAGGCTCTAACACTGCAATCAATGCATCTTGGAAGTGGGCGGTTGTAAACAGCTTTTAATCATTAGGGAAAATAACACGTCTTCAGATTTGCTTTGCTATTAATAATAAATGCTCATCAGCAGTTGCATAGTTCACTTAACAGAAGAAAGAAAAATATGTTAAATCCTCCAAAATCACTATTTTTTGGGATAAAAACGTACAAACTGAATATTTCATGCATATGTGGTAAGCTTCCCTTTTGGAAAATTAATGAAAACCAGAAGGTCAGGTCTTAAACAAAACTCGGGGAGAAATTATGATTTGTGATATATTGTATTATTTGTTACAGCTAAAGTTTTTAAAACACAAGCCCCATTTGTTCAGAGTCCTATTCGATGCAGCTCTGCTCTCAGTCTAAGCTTCTCCCCGAATTTTCTGCTATTTTTCAAGGTGTTCAATTTGTTACAAATGCATCTTCCAAATAATTCATTGTACAAAGATTTTTTTAATCCAAAGGTTGGATGCTCATACCATTAACATGATAAAGTTGGAGGTAAATTGCAAGTGTTGTTTACTCTGTGAAATGTGTTTTACAATTGCTTTCCAGATCCCCCCAAAAGGCTGGAATCAGTGAAAGTTAAAGAAAGAAAATGTTAATTAAAATGAAATAATTAATATACTTAGCAATATCCTAGTTTTCTAGATGCAATGAAAAGCTAAACATTAAGTTGCACAGTAGAAATATAGAAGACATGGGTATTATCTCCATTTAGGCCGCTATGAAAATGACTTTTTTTTTCCATCACTGCATACAATTTGCTCAAGTGATCATGAATCAAAGATCTGGATGCTAGTTCATCAAGGACACAGTGACAAATGAGACCAACAGCTACGCATCATAGTTGCTCATTAGTGCCTCCTAAAAGACGTTACCAACATCAAGCTGCAACACACAAAAAAAGGTAAACAAAGGTCTCCCAAATATTTTTTTCTTTTGTTTTTTGTTCCTCATGAAAAAGAAGTGATTAAAAACGACCCAAAGACTTGTTTTTCCAGCAGCATCACAGAAGTATGACGGCAGTGGTTGGACTTCACAGACAGTTTTCTGATGCAATATGAAAGTACAGACAAGAAAGGAACTGTTTGGGTGCACTGTTATGTTTGAGCAGGCGTCTGGCATAGATGCAGATTTAAGAACAGAGGAAGTGGTGAAACCCCCGAGGGTAATGAAGGAAATTAAAGAAAATGACAAAGTGTGAGGAGGGTTAGAAACATATAGACAGAAGAGAAAGTTTCAGTACCGCACCTTTCTGGAGACTCATGTCTACCATGCGAGGCTCGGCCAGCTCCAGGAAGAAGTTCTTGTTTTTCTCATACTCCTCGTCGTCAATAATTTTCACGTGAACAAATTTGCTGTAGAATAACAGGGGAGGAAAAAAAGGAAGGGGGAGTGAAAGGGAAGGGACAGAGAAAGACAGAGAGGGGAAGAGGGAGGGAGAAGAAGAGAAAGGTTACTTTGCTATGGAGGAACACAGGCAAGTGCACTGTAAGGAGGATTCAAAATCAGCATGGAAGAAAGGTTAGGAGGTGAAAGGTCTGGCCTGTCTGTCAGCGGCTACACATGATGGTCCCAGTGATCTCTCTCACTAGCATAACCACGTCCGTAGCGGATATAAATGGAGTGGAGCGTAAGGGGCACTTTATAGCAGCGGGGATGGAAGAACACACTGAAGTCAAAACAGCAGCACGTCATCAATCCCGAAATAAATGTCCAAACTGACATTTCACAAGGGCAAAGGGGTCTGTGAACAGTGAATGAAAGACACAGTCACCACGCCATCTTCATCAATCTCTGTTGTTGGTCAAAGCTTTTCAGCCAGGACTCGCTCACCCCCTCCAGGCACAGAAAAGGCAGATAGGAACGGACCACTCATTACTCCAGTTTAAAGGAAAACACCCCTTTAATGAAGTCAAATGGCTAGAGGGGGCCGGGGCTTTTTTCTATAGAAAAGTGCTCGGTGTAACATCATCACACAGAAACAGCTCAATATGGCACCTCAGCCCCAGCGGCGTTCTCACCGCTGATCACTCTAATTGATCTTTATAAAGAGTTATCGATGAGTGCGGGCAGTTAAATGGTCAGTGCCCGGCACCCAGACTTCTCTGGGATTCGCCACGTTCACAGCCGAAGACTCTGAAAGGAACGGCTTTGCTGGATTCAAATCGGACTCACGCAAACGTTGCGTCACACATGCTGGAGAGCAGGAGCCAGGAGACCGAAGCCCCAGATGAGCCGTGACACTCACTACCTCTGCTCTCTTAGGTTTGGGAAAGCACGGCCCGCCAGCGGAAGGCAAATCAACAATAGTTGACAGGAGCGCAGCAAGCCTTGAAATAGGCATGACATACTTTATTACGTGCATGACATCTCATGGGGAAGTTGCCTTTCTCTCCTCTTCCGAGTAAAGAAAAAAAAAAAAGAAATGCGTGTTATTTGGGGACAGAGTTTTGGAAGGCAGAGATTCCGCTAATAAAATGAGTGGCCTGGCGGCATTCATTATAGATATCTGCTCATGTATCATTCATCGAGTCAAAAAAATCAGCTCGCTCTCTGACATCCCAGTGATGCACTTTCAACACCATCGCATGCGGCACGCCTCGTGTCAGTCAGAGCTCTGACGCACACTTCACAGCGCCGTGGCTGTGTACAAACACTCAACACAACACATGCTGCACTCACACCACGTAATTAATGATGATGTCCCTGGACCAGTTTGAGTACGGACCGCATACACTCCCTCTGTTCGAGGTAAGTCATGATCTGTTTGCACTTTCAAGACGCCAGAGGAGGTACCGTACAGCCTAATGGCTTGTTAGCACACCACACACGGCAGAAACAATCGGCTCTTTTCTTCTCTTTACATCTCAGTTTTTCTTCTCTCGCCAGGCGAGGCGTCTGCAGCCTAAAAAGGGTACTTTTGTGGTTTTGATCAAGATTGAGAGGACGTCTCGCTGGATTCTAACTCATTTATGGGATCTCGCAGATACCTGGAAGTCGAGGAGTTCAGTCCTCAAAACAGTGTGCAAACCAGAAATGCAGCACCATAATGAAATAATCTACACACTCAGGTACACAGGGGATTTGGCTGTTGGTTATTTAGTTAGATTATTGGTATAGAGCATAAACATGACAAAAGAGAAGTAGGGCCTGTATACTTTTGAGCAACAGAATGTCAACAGTTGTTTCCCTGTTAGCTCCACTTTGTTCTGTAGTAGCTCCTGAGAGAGGTATCTGGTATTTCTGTCGGAAAACTGCTTCCCTATGCTCCCCAGCTAGTTGCTCACTTTGTCAGTCTGTTGTTTGATGCTCAGCAGAGAGTACAACAGTCAAGTTGTGAGCCATAAAACCAAAGCAACAAGCCATAAGGTGCTAAAATGCTCAGTCAGGCTGAAGAAAAGAACGGCGTCTGGAGAGAACTCTCACTGAGACTTGCAGACACCTCTCAGAATTGCTGCTTCTACCACCATCAAGAGGAATTAGAGCAACTTTAAGAAAGAAATATGTGATTTGAATGACAAAAACAGCCTATAACTTGGTCTGTCTGTTATAAAGATGGATCGGGTTTAATCACAAAAAAAGTAGTTCAACAATAATTCCGATTTAGAGATTTCACTCATTTCTGACCATAGCACCCTCTGTCAAAATTACCATTCAAGTAACTTGATGATAACACCACTGCAGCGAATTCAGCTTTGCTTATTTGTATCACGATCCCCCACAGAAAGTTAGACAGCAAAGCCTGTTACACTTACACAGTCCACAGCGTTAAGGTGTTAGACATCACTCACTCAATAACTCAGTTCTGCTCCTGTGCATATAAGCCAGTACAAAGATAGCAGCCCAGTTTAAAAAAAACAGCCGTCCAGCTGTAGCATACAGCTGTGCCGAGGGAATACGATATTTTGTGTTTAAAAGATTACAATCAATAATCTTATATGAATGAGAAATAGTCTAACCTTTTCATTTCACTGTGAAAACATTTAGGTGTGGTCTTTTCAGTTTTCAAAGGGGTTATTGAGTGGTGCCATAAAAAGAGATGATGCAACACAGTGGAAACAAGCCACTCTCTGCTATGAGTGAGCTCGCAATAGATCTAAATGCAGTCTTCAGACAGATGGAAGGCCGAATCAAAAATCTTGAAAAAGGAAAAAGGATAGAGCCAATGCGCATTGGGAGTTTAACATGCATCCAAATAAACCCGATTAATTAACCCAACATGTTCAATGAGTTTGAGAAGAAAAAAAAAACAAGATGAGAGTCATCCGGGCAGCAGAAAGACGCTCAGAAAATGTTAGTACTGAATCCACCCAGAGGCTGAGCAGTAAAAAAGCAGAGGTGGAGAGGATAGAAATAAACTAAATCTAAACCACACTAATCTGATCACTTTAGTTAAACAACCACGGTGGTTTGTACTGGATTAATCACTTGTTAAACAGTGGATAGGGGAGCTTCTATCTGCTAGAATTCAGGAGGAATTTTATTGTGGATACAGAGTGCAAACCATAACAACTTGTCAAGTTAATCATTTTTTAAAATAATTTTTCAATACTTCATTCTATCAACCATCTTTCTCCACAGTCCACAAAGGTTAAACTTAAGATGGACATGGCACAAAATGTTAAAATGAGATGTTCAAGTGCACCGTGTGAAATGATGTTAAGGAATTGACTATTCCATTTTAAAATAAAGTTTCCACTCTCCTACAAACACAGTATGTATACATATATAAAGGCCTCAGGCTCAATATAAAGAAATGCAGTCTTAAATGTGTTTTTTTTAACTGTCAACTGCGAAACACAAGGACAATGCCAGTTTATATTTCTCTGGAGATTTGCAGCTTCTCTTCTTCATCTGACATAGCAAATCCTAGTATTTTTTGTCAGTTTGAAGACCTGCACGGGTGTGTTAAAATGAGCAGATGATGGAGAACGGCGTTGAAAAGGAGGTGGTAGATATCAATCAACGCTGCTGCCTCTAAAAGGCCGGTGGGAAAATCCAGTGCAGGGGGTGATAAGCACCCGTGCGATCAAACACACCGATCACAAATCCGAGTGTGTGTTTTCAGGGTGGTGCAACGTGAACAGCCTCACTGTGGTGTGCTGACAGAAAAGAGACTCGGGCTGTGACGAGGGGAAGCAAATGGCAGGCTCAAATATACATTACACACACACTAACTTATGCACGCCCCGTTTCGTGCCTCCACAATCCGAGTTTAATTTTCAGTGTTTTTTTTTTTTTTTATACCAACCGCAGCAACTTCAGAGCATTTCTTTTTGACACAAGTTGTAGATGAGGGAATTACAAAGTGTGGGAAGAGTTCTTTTTAAATACAGCCTGGTGTGGGCTTCTTTGCTTCTTGAAAGCAGATATGAGTTATTTCAGGGGGGTGTCTAAAATAAATGTTCTGTAATAGCTTTATTTAGCTTTAAATGGCACGGATGTCAGACACCAGAGAAAAAATGGCATCCTACAGAATTGAAAACAGAACGGATTAAAAAAAACGACTGAATACATAAACAAACAAAAATAGCAACAGAAATCAAGACTAGCAGATATGCCTCAGAAAATGTGGAGACAAGGTAAATATTTTCTGTTCTGTTTCTGTTCTGCTCTTTGGTTCAAGAGTAGAAAAGCTAAAAAAGTTTGTCGCTTGTCATTTTCTGTTTTGTGTGCAGCCCGACTGTTAGTGGCTGTTTCACCATTCAAAGCACAACGCCAGACAAAGTCACAATGATTAGGGGTGAATAGATAAACTAATAGTGGTAAGTATCTACATTTAACATTAAAATATGATGGATGTAAAGTGCCTTACAGCTCAGATGTAGTTTCCACACAACAAAAAAGAGGATACAGAGAGTTATCATGGCTGGTTTCCTCCATTAAGGTAAGGCGCTCGCTCAACGTGTGCACTCAGTCATGCCGGGATGTTTTCTACATCAAGAAAACCTACATTTTTTTTTACTTAAGGTCCCTTAAGATTTACTTCCGGCCTGTTGTTCTGTACATTGTAATGCTTTTAAGTTTTTAGGTCTGAAAAGTTCTCAAGTCCTGTTGTCTCTCCTCTTTTCGTGGATGCAGGACAAAAAAAAAAAAACTGTTTCCTTCTGTTTCTCACACTGAAAGCGCATTTGCTTCCAGGCATGAAAAAAATATGAGCAAATATGAGTATATGAAACTCCAATATAGAATTCTACCACAATAACACCGCACAAGGACAAGCCAGTCTTCTGCGGTGTGAAGCTCACTCCTTTGAAATGTGAAGAAATGAATAGAGAGGCTTACTGAAATAAGACTAAATCTCCCTCGCGGCAAAATGGAGGGGTGTAAAAGTTTGCTCTCCCATCTGTGTCCTTCGCAGTTAAACTGTTACATCCCAACGTGTCAAAAAATGAACGTGATAATCACGTATTGATGCTAACGTGCCAGACACGGCACGCGTACGCTGAGCCACTGAGTAATGACTGACAATTAAAGGTCTCCCACCTCCGCTGCACCGGGCCGCCATCAGCCAGCGGCCTCTGCCTTCCCTGAGACTGGAGTGGATGTAGGAGGGGGAGGAAAAAAAGAGATAAAAAGACCAGAGGGATTGAAATGCTCATGCAGGTGGTGCAAAGAGAAGCAGAGGGGCAGATGCAGGGTGCCTCTTTCTTCTTTCTCTGTTCTGAAGCCAAAACCCACACTGCAGCCGCAGTTTGACTTAGCCGCCCGCCTCCTCTTCGATTTTTCAAAGCCTCTCCTTTGATAGCTTCCCTTAGCTGGCAACAGGTTCTTCTCTCGTG